GATAAAATCTGAAATATATATATATATATATATATATATATATATATATATATATATATATATATAGAGAGAGAGAGAGAGAGAGGGAGAGAAAGATAAACAGCTTGAAACTTAGATTTAGTTTATTTTTCAATCTAATCTTCATTGATTAATTTACATTGATTTTCGTAGGTTTTTTTCATTTTTTCCAAAACCGATCAACGAAATTAGAAGCACGACAGAAGTCTACAGTGGAAATAGCACTCATGTTTTTAAGTGTCGTTCATCACAGATCCTTTTTTCTGTATAACGCGCAAAAAAAAAAAAACAACAAACCAAAAAGATTAAAAGACCACTAAGCGCTATAATTCGTACAGACCCGACAGGCACCGTTCTTGTCTTTCTTCACCATTGTCTTAATGACAACGCACACCACGCACCCTAATCCTCTCTATTGTCTTCCTTCAATGTAACATCATTTAATATCTCTTTTTAATCTCTTTTCGTTTCATTTGAATTCCGGCTTCCTTAATCCAACAATCACATCTGCCTTTCTTGTGCTTAAGTCATCCTCTTCTCACGGCCGAATAGTCGTCATAAATGCCTTGTTTGAATTCTATAGTTTTCCGGCCATCTGTCATATTGAAACTCCAAACAATGATCCTTATAATGACTCACGTTTAGACACGAGGCCATTGGAATATCCGAAGTCTTGATCTCCAAGAAATGATCTCGTTAGTTTACCATTTTCTTGCAACTTGTCCGTGCGCTAATTTAAGCTTTATACCATTTATTTCTGTATTTTTACTCCTGTTATTTCAGTATAATACCTAAGCGCCACTCAGGATAGAGGGGAACTGTTTAATGATTGTTTTATGTTAACCCTGAAGTTGAAAAAGTTATGGTTGTAATGTTCAGGGTAGCATTCACTCGGAAGTATCTTGCATAAAGTAATTATTATGTGGAAGACAATGTCTGAATAGAATTTCCTCCTTAAAAAAGAAGAGGATGAGAACGATTCGAACATGTACACGTGGTATAGAAAGTTCCTGTGTCGATTAGACTGGAAAACATAATCTTACATTATATAACAAGATCTGTTTTTAATGGAGTTACCAGGTAAAGTAAAAGTATTTCATTTATCAAAAAAATAAGACATGAATGTTTTCAATTATCGAAATCAGTTTTCGAGCGTGTCCACAATTTTTAATGAAGCAAATATAGACATGTTTTATAATGTGTCAGAATGTTTTTTACTATTGTTCACCTAATACAAACCCCAAGGGCCAATCAAGGGAGAAGGATATTAAATAAGGTTGTAGTAAGACCGTAAAGTGAGGTAGAAATTGTCTCATATCTCACTATGGCTTTTTCAATATATTTCAAACCTTACATAAAATCGTGCATGGCTGATCATGTATGGATGGAAAGGTGTGGTCATGAGCATCTGTGAAATGAAATGAAAATACTAAGCAGGGAAGAACACTGGTAAGTTAGCCATCGGAAAGTGTTGGGACGCACCCACCTTCTGAGGAGAATGGACTGATCTCTCTACGATATAGGTCAGTGCTAGAGAGATCAGGGACGTTCTGTGGAGATCTGGAGATCAGGAGATCACGAGACCATTGCACTTCCGTCTCTCGACCGGAAGATACCATTGGACTGTAGACTCTTGCTAATTGTTATTACTAACCTGCGTTTGTTATTACTAATCACTCTGTTGTTAAATACCTCTTACAAATATACCAGTATTTTTCCCTACATCTGTGTTTGTCTTTATTTGAATACACACACGCGGGAACACTCCCAACATCTCAACAGAAAGAATCAGGGTATATGCTAGGCTATGAGGATCTCCTTAGTAGGCCTAGCATAGAAATAAATACAATATGGAAGCCACTAATAAATAAATAAAAACAAATGACAGCAAGTGTTTAACTGCAGCAGCAGCAACAAAAGTAGTCAAAACATGACAGCCAGCAACAGCAATAGCATCACCAGCAGGGGCAGCCTAATCAGCAGTGATATTTAGGTTTAGAACTCTATGTTGACCCCAGCAATTGTTCTACGGGACTAGTGGGTGAAAGTGCCTGTTTCTGAATTTGGTAACATAGTCGCTGTGAGTTCAATCGGGCAGTGTGTACTTGCACTCAATGGAAACGAGCGAAATAAAAAAAAATATCCTAAATAAAGCAAGAACTAGAAGATGTCAGTGATCAGTGGAACGAGAAGTGTCTATACTCGTAGATTAAATAAAGTGTTCAGTTCGGAATTGCCTGTAGGCTACCCAGATCAATAAAAACCTGAGGAAGGCCGGATCGTTGTGATAAAAACATCAAAGATGAGTCCGAATGTAAATATTTTATAAAATCTTTTTAAATTGATAATTACACTATGGGTTAATTGCACAATTGATAGATTAACACTTTTTTTTTTTTTTTTTTGAAATAACAATGATTTTTCTAGTTGAAAACTCCACCATTTAACTCAAAGAAGTAGGGAAAGAAACGATAGATTTATGATGTTCCGAAGGATATTTGTGATGAATGGATATAACGCCATCATTCTAATGATATATAATTACCGATGACGTCTTGAAGTTTTTCTTATAAATGAAATTATTTATGTCAAGTCTCAATCTTAACTTATTTGACAATGACCCTAACGTGTTGGTGGCGTTTTAAACACACGCTAATATAGAATCAAAACGACATTTCTTCTTGCACAGCTGAGTGAGTATTTCTACAATTTCCACACAATGCAATTTAAAAAACAAAAATAGGATAGATATTAACAAGAAAGCCTTTAATGATATCTGATGTAATGGCCGAAATTGCTTGGGACACTAATCATTATACACACTCTTAGCGACCCCTAAAATGAAAACGCTAAGAAGATTATAAAATAAAATAAATGAAATTCTTCTTCACTGTTACATTGAGTGCAACACGCACATACACAAAACAAACATTATATATATATATATATATATATATATATATATATATATATATATATATATATATATATATATATAATGATTCAAGCAAAAACAAAATTAATTATTTACTATACTAAATGTAATACAACCAATTTAGTTATCCAAAACAATTCTTCTCTGTCTAGCATCTTACAAAAGACCAACATTTTATATCAATTTAAATGTCATTTGGAAGATTGCATATCTGATAAAAATGTTAATACATATGTTGGCTTTACGACGACGACGTTGACGAGACACCTTAAGTTTCACTTGGATGAGCATAGTTCAATCTCTGAATATCTAAATGGACACTCATGTCCACATTCGTAGTTTAGATTGGTATTAGTCGAAAATACATTAGTACTTCATCAAAATAATCATTTAAATTCTGGAAGTTCTTTATATAAGAGAATTGAAAAAATAAAGTCAACTATGAGTATAACAACAAAGTTCATTTGTAGAAGCAAATTATAAAATACTAAATTAAAATATTATAATTAAAAAAACTTTTTAATTACATTATTTGGACTATTGACCTCATCTTTGTCGCCATATTTATTACAAAGTTTCGGCCGTTGTACGACCCGACCTTCTTCAGGTGGTTGGAATGTCGAACTGAACCCTTTATTTCGCTCACTGGGGAAAAACTGTTTAATGAATGTTAGTTATCAGTTATCTTTGGGCCCTGTCACTGGATCTAACTAACGCCTTTATCCACTGTGACATGTGTCGTTGAGGACATCTGTGTATGAATTTCTGGGTATTATAAACCTAATGTCTTCAGCAACCATTTTTTCACCAGTGCTCATATTGCAATTTTTTGCTATTGTCGTTGCATGTTTTTACCAGAGCTCATATTATAATTTTTGTTGTTATTATTGCTTTTCTCTAGCTTTCCTTATTATTGGTTCCCTTTTGTATTCATTTCTATGCTTGGTCGGCTCTGGAGATTCTTGTGGCCTAGCATATGTGCTGATTCCTTAAGTTTACGAATTTTCCAGTGATGTTCTTTGTCTCTAATCACAACCTGATCTCACAGAGGGCGGTGATCTTCCTTCTCTCTCCATATGTGGTCAGCCACGCCAGATTTTTCCACTTCCCCTCGTGTTACAGCTTTTGGTGTTCTTGAAGCCTTACCTAAGAGGGCGGCCTGTCTCCCCTTTATATTTCTTTTCGCAGCTGCACGGGATAGCGTATACATAGTCTTTAGTCATGTTCTCCTCTAGGGGGGGTCTTACTCAGGAGAGATATCTGCGAAGTGTCGTCAAGCTTTTGAAAGATGTTCTGATGTTATATGGACCGCAGATCCTTTTTCTTTCTTTTTTTTTAGATTACAAAAGTTACCTCCCTTGCATCATTGAAAATTTTGATTTTGAAACGGTCTAGTGTAAACGAACAGTGAAAAATTATTTTGAATTTACGGAGCTGCTGTATACACATACACAGATGTTTTACCTCTCTGGCAAGGGTCTCAGATGAAACTGAAAGTGGACATTGAAGTCAATACTCAGCGATGACAGTCTGTTTCATGCTTATACGTCATCGACAATACAATTCAATACTCTTTTCTTTGTTTCTAACGAAATTTTCCTGTTTCTTAAAATTGGTTTATCAAACTCGTTCCGAAATTGCTGTTACATTTGTAGCTGAAAATAAAATAACAGATGGAATAAATGCAAGTGAAAGAGTTTTTTAATTCTGTACTTGGAGCAATCAATGCCTAGTAATATTTAAATAATTCATAGCCAATAAATGTCAGAAGAAGAAGAAGGAATCATGTCTTTCCCAAGGTCATTAGTGCCAAAATGAAGACGAGGAACTATCATGGAAATTGAACTCCGTTTGTCGAATACACCTTCTCGCTGATACCCCTTTAACTAGACGCACCGCATGTCTACAGTTTCATTTTAATTTATAGAATTTTTCTTCGTCTGTCAAGGATACAAGCTATTTACAGTACCTGATGATTCAAAGCTGTCACCCATTTACGTACAAATCTAGCTCGACACTTCTTAACTGTTCTAATCAGATAGTAAACATGACCATTGATAATGTACTGTTATCTATCAACTCTTTCATTCTCTCTCTCCCTCTCTCTCGCTATCTATCTATCTATCTATCTATCTATCTATCTATCTATTTCAGTCTATTCCAATCTATCTCTGTTAATATTTGTCCATGTTTCTCTTCTATCTCTCTCTCTCTCTTTCCTCCCTATTGTTCAATCTTAAGCTAACATTCTAAATCCCCCTCTTTCTCTACTCTCTGGGTTTCCATCTTCACTCTCACACTTCACACTGCACCATCTTCTTTCACTTCACTTCATATGCTCGAAACACATTAACAAATACAAATATTTGAGAAAAAAAAAGCACTCACATTAAAGAACTTCAAAGCATTTTGAAGTTATCGACAAGTTTCCTTCCATTGTTGTTGACGATTCCTTTTTTCTCCTTCTAATCGAGAAAACAAGCTTCCTGCTGTCCTGACATTGCTTGTTGACAAACAAGATACACACGATGCAACACTGCCAAGAATTTAACAAGTTGTACCCGATGAGCCGCGTAAGATTTGAACGATTCATTCCTAGCAACTCTTCCATGAACTCTACCGAAAAGGCTTATATATATATATATATATATATATATATATATATATATATATATATATATATATATATATTGTGTCCGTAAGGGCTATCAGAAAATCTAATTTCACGTATAGTTTCTCTCGTGAATAATTTTAGTATTTCTTTATCAATTTTAATATTCAAAAAATAAGTTTGATTCAATTGCAGGGGGGGAGGCGATTGATACATTGTCGTCTAAATTACGCAAAAATAAAAATAGCACTGATATCTCATTTTAATATTTGCCAAAATTATACAAAAATAAGATGAAATACTTTAGTATTTCAAGATATTTTTGAGTAAATTTATATATTGAGTAAATTTATTCAATAAAATCTCCATTAGCTTCAATTATAGTCTCCAGACGACTTCGGAAATTCCTGGAACTCTTCTGAAGTCTCCTTGTTTAAATTGGTGAATGCTGCCATAATTCTGGCCTTCAGTTAATATTTGGTGTTACAAGGAGTTTTGTTGATCTCTCATTCAGCTGCACCCCACGCATAATAATCAAGGGGGTTGAAGTCTGGGGAGTTAGGTGGCCAGATGTAAGGAGTGGTGCGGTCGTTTGAAATTGTCTGACAGCCATAACCGTTTTCTCTTGCTTGTGTGGTATAAAGCAGAGTGCTGTTGCTAGACATAGAGTCTCCCAGAAGCTATTTCTTGACCTAGAACAGCTCTACATCCTAAAGGAACTTGATGTAGGATTCTGTGGAAGATGAATGGAGGCATAACGTCCCGAATCACTAGTAATCACTCCAAACACCTCTGTAATCACATTAGACTCATCCAACTCTTTCGCTGCACTGGCCTCAGATTGACACCCAAACACTGAAATGTTCGTATTCACAAGCGGTACAGCGTGGCTTTTCCAAATTTCTGGTGGAGTTATTGCCTCATGATGCTCTTTTTTTCTGCCCAACAGACTCTACTAATGTGCAGTCAACAAAATCAAAGGCAAAGAACGCGCATGCGCGAAATTAGAAATATAAAACGGCAACAATTTACTCATCGCACGCTGTATATATTCAGCATTGTTTGCATTGGGTTTCTTTCCCTTCATCAGTCAGCTTTTCGATAAGTTGTAAAAAAAATTCCGCAGAATTCGTTGTGAATTTTATAGTATTGCTGATGCAGTTGAGTTCAGTTATGTGCTATGCGGGATACACGCTTAGGCAACCATGTATCTTTCGATATACGACTGATGAGGCAGATTTTTCCCGCAGTATTTTGCCATTTTGTTATGGGGTCTTACCCATAATAATAATAATGGACTATTCCATACTTAATAAATACTGCGCCTCAGGAGTAGGCAAGGAGAGTCAGTAGTCGAGTCAGAGGCAGTCCGAAACAGTCGCGTTCAGACAATTACTGCAAGACACTGGAATAGTGATACTGGTCGAGACTACATTGTTCTCTCTACTAAACCTGATTGTTCATACTAACACTTCTACTTCTCTGTATATATTCCTGTTTGTAATATATCTGTGTTATTCCATACCTGTGTTCGAGTTCTTCTTTATTGGTTCTACCTTGGACTATCACCGTGGTACAAGGAATCGGAACATAACACATTTCTTTCTGCGATCCACCAGTTGCTATCCAAGGCTAGAAAACCCGGTCGGTCCTGCTATTTAACCATAGCTATGAGGGAGATGAAGAGGATTCATACATTTTCCAAAGGTATTAGCACGGATTCGAGTGAAATTCGAGCTCCGCTTTCCGATACCTCAATCCGAATCGCTATCCATTACTCTACCCTTACGAGGCCCAAATGTCATTACTGAATGATAATGTAAAGGAGCAAATTGTTTAGTGGGATGTAAGAAGTGCATATTGTGAGGATGTGTAGAATAGATGACGCTTGATTGAAGAAGTATCCTTTCGAGAGTTTGTTCCAAAAAGTAACAGTTTCTCGGGCTGAAGCTGTCTGTGGAACTTCTTCCTCACCAATGGAATATGAAGGGAATAGAGATGAGTCGACTCTGTGGACGTGATCTCTTGAGTTCGTACTGTGAAGACTTGAACTGTTTGAACTAAGAAATGTAGCTACAACAAATTCAGAGAAAGTTTCCTCATCAAAGCGATTTGCAACGATTGTAAAGGCTAATAATCTTGGTGCAAAGTTAGGTGAACATGGAGAGCCAGGTACATCAGATAGAACAGTTATTTTTTCTTCCTGTATTATTATTTTTATGCATGCAAGCCTTGCGTTTTCATCGGGAACGACATTTTTCTATTGATTGACGCAAAATTTTATGGACACGTTACAACTCCTGGACGTATAAATGTGCATTTATTGTTTTATTAGGTTTTAAGAACTCTAAGTGAATAATAACACGACGATTTCACCACGGGCGTAGAATGGCCTTACTTGAGTGGAGCTAAGTTTTGGGAGGCGTTTGAGTAGAATTATTCTTGTTGCTCCATTGCATTTAACATTGTTGTACGTAACCCATTTTTCATCGCTTCTTATAATGTATTTAAGGAATGGTAAATTAGGAGGATAAATTCGACATTGCAATTATTTCGCAAAAGAGGTAATTACTTATGGATAGACTTATTATGTGCAAGTAACCATTTATAACATTATCGATTCACAGCGGGCTATTATTTAATCAACATTACCCCTAGAGCTATTTCAGAAAATGTTGACACACCACTGACAAACCAACTGCCAATCGGAAATATCAATTCAAACCTTAAAACTGTCCATCCAACTGTAGACCAACAGCAACGTATGACGCTATACATTCAGTCTGAATAACTATTTAAGAAACACGTCTCGATGGTAAAATTAGGTTATTATCAATTTAGCTATGACAACCACATAACCAACTGCGCACATTAATACTGACAACGTTGATTCAAACTTGACAAATCTTTAACCATTTTTACATGCAGCGCTGCTTAAGACATTTGATTGAACAACTGGCAACTTTAACTAACTTTAACTAACCAAGGAACTCTATAAGACAATATCAAACAAGCTCTGACAATTATTTAACCAGCTTAGGTATGATGATTCGGTCTTCTTCTCTTGATTTCTCGGTCGAAGACACGGGTTCATTTCGAGTCGCATGCATGTAATTTCTCCTCCAAACTAAGCTAGTAATATTTCATCGTCAGCAAACAGATCCTGAATATTCTGAGTTCACTGGAACACGTTCAGACCTCAAGTGGAACTCATACATACGATCTATGGTCGGTTTTTAACTATCCAGTAAGAACTAGATTCCTCCTGTTATGCTTTATCTCTACCAGATTCAGCTTAGACCGAATTGCAACCATATCTGGGCTGAAGCAGCCAAGTCCCCAATTTCCACCTTTGTCAGACATTAAAACCGTTTACGCAGCCTTGTAGTAGATGAATTATTTTCAGCCCTGCAACTTAAACGTCCTAAGTCTATCTCTTCTTTATCCTATCTTCGTGGAAAATTATCTGGTGAGCTAGATTATTTACTTCCACCAATTCAGACCCTTACAGCTAAAACCCTCCATGCCACATTCATATAGTTGAATCACCCTTATTCTCAACGTATCCTCTTTGTATGCTGGAATTCTTACTCAGATATCATCATGCCAAAAATCGCTACTTTGTGGAACAAAATCCAACATGAATGGTCCCTTGAACACTACAGATTTAAGTTCTTTTAATCCAGGGTCAATTATTTATTTTTATTTACCCTACATATCCTCATGATCTTTATCTCTTCTTCCGTCCATATCCCTCACCTCATTCTATCACCCTCTACGTTGAGTGTGAATAGTAGTAACAAAAAGGCCTACTTAAAAATTGCTGTACGTAAAATGACACATAAACAATAATTAATCATTCCTTACAAGTAGAGAGTAAGGACCACTTAATATCGGTTTTCACCCTTGTATCTGTAGCAAAACAGACATATCAGTTCAAACGTGACAACTACTTACCCAACTGTGCCAGCAAGACGTCTTCATACACAATCGATTTAAACTTGAATAAAGCTAACAATAAAATGCCCTTAAGCCAATACTGATTCATCGTTGGAAACTATTATGACTTGGAAAATATTAAGACAACTCTATCCAAAGCAACACTGCAAACAATATCAACTGCGCCCTGGAAAATCTTTAACCAACTGCACCCAAATTAACACCCACGACATTATTGATTTATAAGACTATCTTTTCTCAAAGAATCATTTAATGGATAACAGGCTACAAAAATATTATATGATTGACTAAGACTGCTCAGTTACATAATAAAGTTTTCACTAGCACAGGCTTTCAGAAAGCCTGTCTACAAACCATAATCTACGTCTGACAATGGAACTTATTTCTCGATCATGTTTTAGAGAAGGAAGCTCGCAATCAATGGCATCACAAAACAGTTTGATCTGAACAGAAATAAATGAAGGTTTTTTGTTGTTTTTTTTTTATTTTTATTTATATATATATATATATATTTTTACAGCCGGCCTTGTTTGCAGGCTGAGTTCTGTTAAATTTATTATCACGTTGGAGATTAAAGGAAAAAGAAATCAAGTCTTGGCATCAGCTATTGCATTCATCGCGCTCACCATCGACATTTTTGCTAGTTCGGATGTAGTA